AAATGAATACATGCTATGGGTTTAAGTCACTAAAAAATTCTAGTCGGAAATATTTGCTGTAAATTGTGAAACTGTAGTAAACTGTGACGAATGTTAAGATACCTACGAAGAAAAATTAATTTGAACATGCTAATTATTTATACCATCAAAAACTTATAAAAGATTGAAAACGAGTTATGACATTGATATACATGACCATAGAGCATTGATTTACTAACTATTTGAAATACTAAATTCGCTTTTAAATGGTATTTTTTAAGAAACTTTATAGACTTTGTGGAATGTTGAATTGAAACAGCCCATTTGGTAAAATAAAATAAAAACAATTATTATTTACAAACAAAAACAAAATACTTGAGTAAAATTGCTTAAAATGCTGGTTTTACTTTAAAAAAATCTTTATCTAATTGATGCAAACACTGCAAGTGCTAAAATACATTTAAATCGTGTCTATATTGAAGTGTGGGTATACTAATATAAGTGAGGGAATGCAAATTAATCTACACGTATGAAGATACTTCGAAAATCACATTAATACTGGACTTTGTGTTATGTTTATAAATACATTAGTTCCAATTGTCCATAAAAGTATACTTCGAGATGCAAAATGTCTTTCATAAGTCCCTTACAATTAAAAGATTTATTAAATACTATGCATGATAAATATTACGAAATAAAAATACTTATACAATGACTTCTTAAATTACTTTTTTACTTGATAAAAAATGTTACGCACAAGATGTTGCTACAATTTCGGGCACACAGTCCACCTGGTTAGTGGATGCTGTGGTCGATAGACATCTACATTTTTATCCTCGATAAAAGATCAAAATGCGGAAGAATCTTAATTGAAAATATCTTTTGGATGTTATTTTTAATTAAACTTTTATGTAATTACGTTATTTATATTTAGTTTAATAATGATGAAGAGCAACTTCATGTGCGTTTAACAAGAAAACAATTGATATAATCATATTCAAATAAATATGTATTTATAGCTTCGGACTAGGTAAGCTTCACGTTTATTTCGTGGTAGAAACAAAATAGGAACAGCACCAATAAAATACCTTTTTTTTTTGGAAAAACAATAAAAAAAATTAAATCTGTTTAAATAACGAAACTACCTTATCCGGCTTTTATTATTTACATTTAATATAAATAACGGTAACAACTTCTTATCGCCTTCTTTTGGCACGCCGACGTATAATAGACGTAAAATTGGTTAAATTTTTTTGCTTGTTGAAATCTGCATAGTAAATATTTTAACTTCTGTGTAAACATAATTTTTCTTCTAATATTACAACATACTATTGAATATATTATACGACAAATCAATGCGATAAAATTATAATTATTTTTTCGAACAAAACCAATCTTTCGTTTCATAACTGTTATGTCGCTATACAATTGTTATAACATTATAAGATTGACAAGTTTCAACATGATAAAATATTACATACTTAGTTTATAATGTTGACATTGATATATAGAAATTAAAAAAAATATATGAATGTAAATTTGAATCAATACGAACACTAATTATTTACTTGTATGTTTAGAGCATATTGTATTTAATACTTTACTACACTCCAACTATGTTGCCATATTATTACTATTTGTTTCAGCTTTATTTAATATGATAATAAAATCAGGCAAGACATAATCAGTCGCGTCATAGCTGATCTTCTATTTCATAAATATGTAGCTATCAGGTGTTTTACTAATTATCGTAAGCTTTACAAATCCTCAAACAACTGAGGTAATGCAGATTAACATTACATGAAATTTTATTTTGTAAAATAAATAAGACCCATTTACCAGATTTAATATGTATATATTATATTCATCCTCAACTGGTTTGAATTGGTACGATTTCACATGAGCTTTTTTTACATTGCTAATTAACAAATATATATACACATATAAAAACCGATGATCCTAATTCATTATATTGTTTTGTAAACTTTCAATAATATGTAAGTATTTGACACGCATGAATATTGAAATACTTTTTCGAAACAAAACTTATTCCATTTAAATTGAATGGGAATACCAAATAATTACACCATTTTTGGAGGTGAAAAAAACTTTTATTTTATTTATTCATTCATTACAGCCCATCAAAAGTCCACTTCTGAACATAGGCCCACTCCATGTATTGCCTCACCGCACGGATATTTACCATCTTATAACATCTTATTTGAATATTTTATATAAATTAAAAGCTTAAAGGACAAGCATCCAAACCAAAAATCTCAATAAAATTATATATTAAAATATAATTGAATTAAAACAAAAACCGATCAATTTTTAGTCACTTCTGAAAGCAGTAAATTTAAACTATTTGATCTCTCTTTAGAGAGTAGTTTTTTTTAGTAGTATGATGTAAGTAATAATATCAACTATTCAATTCAATCAATGAATCTACACACATTTAATGCATTAGTTGCTCTTTATTTTAAAACTAATTTATATATTGACATTACAATGTAATATGATTTTTGTTATTTATCAATTTATATTTAGAAAATAAGACATATTAAAAAGTGCATGTTTATCTTGGTGCAATTTCCACAACATCAAGATAAAAACGACACATGAATTCGTTCAATTTAGAAGTGCGAGAGTGCTGGTACAAATTATCTTTTCTATATATTCTATATATTCTTTTTAAAACAATATAATTTTATGAATAGTAAAATAAATTTCATTGGTATGTAGTTTAAATTCATAATCACAAAAGTTCATCGCTCCTAAAGCATAGTCACTATTACATAATTCTCAATTGGCGAGTGTCAAACCTTCTTTCTATAGCCTAAGTTTTTGGTCTTTAACAATTTGTTTGAAAGGCTAGGATGTGTGACTGAAGTATCGTTTGTGTGTTACCTACGTCGACGTGGTCTCTCTGAACGCCGCCGTGCTGAAAATTAACAGATCAATTTGTTATATATTTTTAAAATAAATTTTAATTTTAGTTCTCTATCTAATTTAATTGTTTACAAGGTCAACGTATTTCATTTTGAATTACTGTTATTAAGAGACGTCCTATGTCTTATCTCGTTTTCGTCCGCAAATAGGACCAGGATACCATTATTAGGTTAGAACGAATAAGTGCATCTTTGTTTACGCATACACTTCTGTGTATAATATGACCTTTGCCGCTGATACGTTTCCTATATTTGGAAGCTGTTGCCGTAGTCAAAATTGGCTTGAAGTATATTAACATCATTATTAATAAACAGCAAAAGTTCAAACTGGTTTATAATTTATAAATAGAAATATGAATAAATGAAGTGAAAATTTGATCAATCTAATTTATTATATGAATAAAAACACAAAATGTACCCCGGACAATACAGAGATGAAATCTATGTCATTTGAAAGTATAGATCTTCTATGTAAATAATTAGAAAAGTGCAAATATCTACGCAGTAGTGAACACAAGTTATGAAGGTTTGAAAAAGTTGATTTTGTCACTCGGTTTTTATCATAATTACACAATGTAGATGTTCTTAAAGTTATAACTTCATGTAGGTTAGGTTATATAGGTTAATGTGTATGCATTTATCCCTGATGTTTAGGATACCTAGTAGTTTAGCTTAAAAAAAAGAGGGACAGCAGGTTTTTCAGTCTTAGAAAATATTTATATTGTTTGTAACTATTCAATCAAGTTTGACACTTCAACTGTTTTGACACTTGACGGACAGATTCAGTGTTGCAAGTACTAAAGTAAAATAATCGTATCCTACTATGTAATGCTACATGTTAAAGCTGTTACTGTATTAAATTAAATAAATAAATAAAATAGTATCCGTCAGTGTATTTTGATAATTTTAATCTATTAATTCATTAATAGAAGTTTTTTTTATAGATAACATATCAAAAAAGTATTTTTATGACTTTAGTTATTGTTTTTTTCCCTCCTCTGATCTTTTTTAATATTATATGGCCACATTAAAGGTACTTTAGAGTGACTTCAAACAGAAGAATTATTAAAAAAAAAAACAATGAAATAATTTTAAGTACTTTTAAACTTGATTGTTTTTCAACAGCTACTATGAAATGTTAATAATTATTCAATATTCTTTGTTAGCTTTATTTAAATTAACAGCAATAGTTTTATTTTTGTACAGCTTGGGGCACATTTTGGCTATATCATTTGCCAAATATAAATACAATATAGAAGGTGCAAATTTGTCAAATATAAGAAAAAAGGTTTCTCTTTCTAAATGAAGAAAATGCAGATTGATCTATTAAATGAATAAATAAGCGCAAACGGCCAAATATAGAATATGAATGAAGAATGTGGCAAATTCGTCAAATATAAATAGAAAAAAAAAACTAAAAATATGTATTGGCAAATCTCTCAAGTTATGGGTATCAGAAGCCATATTTTTGAAAATAACCATACCCAGCAGTTAAAAAGGCGTTATTATTAAAGAGTTCTATTTGTCAAATATTAAAAGAAAACTGGTCAAATACATATATAAAAAAGGAAATCGGTCAGTTATACAATTTGTAAGAAACACCTTGTCCAGTTCGAAACAGGCACACATTCACTCAGGTACCGCAATAACATTACGAAAAAAATATAACATCATATTAATAATGAATATGAAAATGTTACTGTTATTTAAAAACTTTAAATACATTTTTCTACAATTTGCTTAAAATTCAGCAACTTTTTAAAATCTAGCAATACTGTCGTCAGCGACGGAATCGTTGAGCGTATGGTGGGAGAGTTAATCGACGATCGGCCGAGCTGCAAGTATTGCCATATCAATTATTTAATTTTTTGTGGGGTTTTTTTCTTTATTTATTTTCTGTAAAGGATTACATTTGTTCTGTTTGTGTGGGTAAAATTGTTTGTATTGTGGTCAACTATCATATCATTATATCTAAAAGTACCCCACAGTATTTTATAAAAAAGCGAAATGTTCGTATAACACTGACAATAACTTACCGACTCTATCAATAGCATCGCCCGGCGTCTTTATTCCCTATTCTCTTTTCTTCCCCTTCTTCTTGCCAACTCGTTTACTGTAATTTTGCGCGAGTGCGTTCACTATCGACACAACGAAGTACAAAACCATAGCTAAAACGAATTTCTCTAGAATGCTCGATAAAATCGATCCTTGATTCTCTGGTAGCGATGAGGAAGGGTCCCTTTTGTGTAAACGCGCCTTCTGATTTCGCAGAAATTCTAGTAGAGGTGCCTCTAGCTTCGGCCCGATATATGGTATCCTTTCTACCCACGCCAAAACTTGCCTGTTAAACGAAATATGTTCGATATAAGTGATACAATATTTTTATTTTGAGTGTTTATGGGGAGATATATTGAAATTCACTCAAATGAATTTTAGTAAAAAAGATTTCAAATTTGTCATAATTTGAACTAATTTCATTAATTAATGCTAAAAATTTGTAACTATATTATTAGTTGTAGCACAAATGGGTTGGCTCGACCGGGGAGGGACCACGCTCTCACAGAATACCAGCGTGAAATAGTAGCTTAATGGTGCTGTATTTCGTATGGTGAGTGTAGAGAACCGGATACCCTTTTACTGGAAACGAGGCATTCCATCTTAGTGCTCACGGGTGACAACGCATCTGCATTTTAATTCGTAAGATGTAAATCGTAGATGTAGATGTCTATGGGCCGCAGCAACCACTTACCATCAGGTGGACTGTGTGCTCGCTTGTCACCCTATCTTATATATAAAAAAATATATAGTTTAGAAATTAAGGGTTAAAAGTAAATATTTTTATTTGATATAAAGGTTTGTGTCTGGTTCCATACAACAAATGACATGGCTAATTCTATACAGTGTTTTTATCTTACGCACAATCAATACATTTAAATAGAATAGAATAGAATATTTTTTATTCAATATAGATTAAATGTTGTAATTCTTATTGAAAGTCATTTTTTACATTACCACTGGTTCGAAAAAAAAAACCTCTGTCCTGGGAAGAACCAGCAAGAAACCCGGCGGGACTTTAAAAAAAAATAATTTTACAGTGTCAATGGTCACAAAATTTATTTTAGTAACAGCTTGGAAGCGACCACCTCATTCCGATGAGTTATGTATTCACTTATATTATAATAACACTTTTTATATAGTTTTTGTTTAATTAAATATTTAAACTTGATGTACCAACTAACTAGCAACAGGCGTTATCATATTTTACTCATTTTTATGTAATGTATAGTGATAAACAACTTATATATAATTACTAGACCATAATATATTCGTTATTTTACAAAATTATTTAAATAAAACATGTAGTTACAATTCTTTTAAATTAATATGATTCTTTAGTTTGAAAATTTGAGGTTGTGAGTAAGTGAAACAAAGAATAATCTTACCCAACTAACGTCTCATTAAACGCTATAATGACGAACATCTTCTGAATATGCATCTTGATAACCGCCTTCCCCAGTACAGTGGCGCCGAAGAAAGTCCAGAAGGGCACGAGGAAGTGCCCACAAGTGAGTCCCGCGAGGTCGAACAGTGGGTTGGGGATCGAAGCACAAGCGAGGATACCCACGAAACCGACTCGCTGTACTAGTTTCTGCACCATCGCTTTCGCCCTAGAATAGAAGATGTTACGTGTGAGAAACTAAAAAACAATGTGATAAATCGACATAAATATTGATATGCGAGGTTCTATTAGAATAAAACGATATGCTGTGTAAATGATAATGAATTTGAGTACGAGTGCCACTACAGTGGCACTCGTACTCGAATTGTTTAGATTCAATACAATATTATACTAGTGTTTGTCCGTTTTTTGTTATCTTTTTTATTCAAGTTATAAACAATAAAATGCAAAAAAAAAACAATTAATTGTATTGAATTGATTGAATTAAATAAAATATTTAGCCTCAATAAGGAGGCTCCTTCCCTCTCCCTCATTCTACCCTCAGTCCTCTCTATCGATTTTTGTTTGTTTTCGACTTTTAATGCCAGCGAACCAGCGATAGTATTGCTATTGAAAGCAGTTATTAAAAGAAACCTTGTCGAAAGAAGATCGCGTTTGTGTTTATAGTATTATTTTATCTGTGAAAGGATAACAATAGATCCAATCAAAAGGAATTTGGGGTGAATAGTGGATTTCTATCCTATATTGAAGAAGACAATAATTTTATAATTTTGCAATATGTCTAATAAACCGAAAACCAAATGCCAACAAAGTATAGTTTTGTAAAGAACGAAAAAATATACATGGGCGATATTTATAATTTATGTACATAAAATAATGTTCATACTTAACTACATATTGTATACATTTAGTAAATTAAAAAAAACCTATACCAGTATTACTTATACATATACAAAAGTACTAATCAGTATGTATTATTCCTTAATACATATCTAGGCTTCGCTCGGTTGATTTCTGATAACATACCCGATAGGTGGCATACCGGGTCCAGAATAATTAAGTAGAATTTTATTACATATATATTTTTAATATATACATGTAAAACCTTTAATAAGCCTTACATTTAAGCTGTATAAGTTTCTAATTTAGTTAAAACTCTGTTGGTTTTAAAAGTAAAAAAATATTGGCTGATGGAAACCTTCATTTTGTTGTAAATTATTGACGGTTTCGACACTTAACCCCACTAATGTTTTAAGTACTAACTTAAATTGTTAGTAGAGTTAAGTGTCGAAAGATCTCCCCTAGTTTGACATGATAAAACTTTGACTGTAATATACTAGTATGTTCGGCGGAGTTCATAACAAAAGCAGTTTCCTAAACTTATTTATTACCAATTGCAGTCCGCTAGTAATTTTTGCTCGTAGATATTAAAAAAAGTACGAGTATTTAAAAAAAAATTGGATATAAAAAGGAACCTTCCAACACATTAATTATTTATTGTACACCTACATCATGAGATGATGAACATGGCGAATTCTTAGAGTCGGAAGTAGCTTCAGTTTCGGTGATGTTAATTATAAAACGCTAATAGGTTCGACTATCTTGCCATTAATTTGCCAGATTCGATCCTGTTCTTTTATTTTGTGGTCAGTGAATGTTTTCATTACATGCCCGACCATACAATTAATATAGCTTCAGCATGGCTCTACCACGTATTATTATTATATTACTGGCAATGAGACACTCCATCTTAGTCCTCAAGCGTGATAACGCCACAACATCCACTTACCAGCCAATAATGATGACAAGACAGATCTCCAAATGCATGCGGCGAGACTTACGCAACTTTAATATTGCTCGTATTGAAGAAGCGATTGAGCGGAACCTGTGCTCCAAAGTCTTTGCCAGAGATCTGTCTGCCAGTAAGAGCCAACTGTCAAAGCTGAAGACTGAGTGTGGCAGCATCGTTTCCGGGACACCTGAGATTCTGAGCGAGATTGAGAGGTTCTATGGGCAGCTGTACACATCATACTTAGAGCCACACGCAAGTGTGAGTAACGATCCAAGAGCAAGTCTTATCCGACACTATTCCGATGATATCCCGGACGTTAATCTGAGCGACATTAGAAAGGCTCTTCAGCATCTTAAAAACAGAAATTCGCCGGACAAGGATGGATGGACACGGACTACAGCGGAGCTTCTGAAAGCGGGTGGAAAACCGGTACTTGAAGTCCTTCAGAGGCTCTTTTTTCTCTCCAACCTCCATGGTGGTACTACTCCGGAGGCGTGGAGCAGAAGTGCGGTGGTCTTGTACTTCAAGAAAGGTGACAACTCCCTCTTGAAGAACTACAGACCGATATCCCTTCTGAGCCGCGTCTACGTGCTGTTTTCGAGTCATTACGAATCGTCTCGCACACAGACTTAACAAATTCCAGCCTCCCAAACAAGCCAGTTTCCGAAAAGGCTTTAGTACCATAGACCACATACATACCCTTCGGCAAATTGTACAGAAGTCCGAAGAGTACAATCTGCCACTTTGCCTGGCGTATGTGGACTATGAGAAAGCCTTTGATTCCGTCGAAATTTGGGCGGTTCTACAGTCTCTTCAGCGGTGCCAAGTTGACTGTCGGTATATTGAAGTGCTGAAGTGTTTGTACAGTAGGGCTACAATGGCTATCCGAGTACAGAACCGGAGTATGAAACCTATCCAACTGCAGAGAGGTGTAAGACAGGGTGACGTTATATCCCCGAAACTCTTCACCGCTGCATTGGAAGACGTTTTCAAGCTACTGGACTGGAAATGATACGGTATTAACATCAATGGCGAGTACATCACTCACCTTCGATTTGCCGACGATATAGTCCTTATGGCAGAATCGCTGGAGGACTTAAGCACTATGTTCAATAACCTCAATAGTGCCTCCCAACGGATAGGTCTTAAGATGAACATGGACAAAACAAAGATCATGTTTAATGTCCATGTCACACCTATGCCGGTAGTTGTTGGGAGCACTAAGCTCGAAGTTGCTGATGAGTACGTTTACGTTGGGTCAAATAGTCCGACTAAGTAAGTCCAACTTCGACCAAGGGGTCAATCGACGGATTCATCTCGTCTGGGCAGCGTTCGGGAAATTACGACATATCTTCTCGTCAGGTATACTCGTACCTCAAAACCTGAAAACTAAGTTGTACAACCAGTGCGTGTTATGGAACTGAGATGTGGTCCTTCACTGCTGGCCGTATGAGGATGCTCAAAGTCGCTCAGCGAGCTATGGAGAGGGCTATGCTTGGAGTTTCTCTGCGTGATAAACTTAGAAATGAGGATATCCGCAGTAGAACCAGAGTGACCGACATAGCCCAACGGATTAGTAAGTTGAAGTGGCAATGGGCCGGCCAATAGCTCGAAGAACCGACAACCGTTGAAAAAAGGTTCTCGAGTGACAGCCTCGTACCGGTAGGCGAAGTGCAGGGCGACCCCCCACTAGATGGAGTGTCAACCTGGTAAGACATGCAGGAAGTCGATCCTATGTTCAGCAGTGGACTTGTGAAGGGCTGTAATGATGATGATGAATGATGACACACAGGCCACTTCAGGTGGGCTGTGTGTTCGCTTGACACCATTATGCTATTTAAAAAAAAAACTTTTGCTAAACAGAATAGTGATATCGGCATCGATCCATCCATATCAATATATAAGCTTATATCAACCCTAAAGTAAAATACAATTAGGTCTACAAGTCCTTACCTGCCAGTTCTTGTATCATCAGCGTCGATCTCGGTAACTTCAGCTAGCGACCCACCAGAGAGTCGAGCTGCCCGTGCCATAAAGTACGGCGGAAGTTCTCCTAACGCTGTACCAACGCCCCACAGCATCGACTCGATGCGCACTTTGGACATTATGCTCCATATTGTCACCGCACCGGCAGCGACTGTCTCCGTCGGACATATTATACTAAAACAAACATTGTTTATTACTAGCTAACATTAGTTAAAAATGTCTAGGCTTAGATATAGAAGTGCAACCAAAATTATTCAAGACAGAAATAAAAATAAAATATATACATATTTCTTTTATTGACAACGTATTACGGTACGTACAGACGTGCTCAAAAAAATCATACTCATAAGTTTACTTAAAATGAGCATGCTCTGCATCTGTTCACATTCGCCAGCAATAAGCACGCTTAAAGCATGAGACGTACTATTTGACATCAGGCTCTTGGCCGAAATGGATGTACAAAGATATAGTGACAGTGCTATATACAGAACTTAATAAAAAATAATCATATTGCTTGCAACCGAATGGTGTAAGAAAAAGCAAAATTTTTTCGTCCCTCAAACGCGACATATCGAGGGTTTTTTTATTTTAAATTGACACAGAAACTGTCGCGAATCGAGATCGATTCGATAACACATGCTCATAAGTAATCCTGCCCAGTTCAGACGCGCTCGAAGCACGCCCTTCTACCCGCGCCTCAGGTAGCATGCTCGAAAATCAAACGTCGATTGATTTTTGAGTATGCTCAAAAATAGTATGCTTATTACTAGCAATTTTGCGACACACGTGCTATTAATGAGCACTTGCTCAAAAAAACATGACTTCGTGCTAGTAGTGAGCACGTCTGTCCGCAACTTTATTTTTCAGTGTGGTCCCGGCGCTGATGATATGACTCGACCTGCGATTTGATGACCTACTACTAATAGCAACATCTCGGCTGTAAGGTGCGTTCTTGAAAAAATAGTTGTTAGTGGACTACAAAGACTTACTGGTGCGATGTGAATCATCATGTCATCCCGTTTCGTAGTTGTCGTAAAAACTAACCAATGATCTATCATACTACGAGAATTCAAATTTCAAAAACTGTGCGATGGTAAAGGTTAAGAGAATCAAACAGCCTATTTCGCTTCGTGGTTGTCGTAAGAATGAATTAATTAATGACCTGAATGTTCAGGGGCAAGAGTTCTTTTCCAGCCTAAAAGTCTGTCTGGATAGGTATTACCCTCTCAGCTATTTCTGCTGTCAAGCCGAAGTACGTGCGTGCTGTGTTCCGGTCTGAAGGGTATTGAGAGTCAGAAAAAAAGTCTGTAGGTATACAGACTTTTATGGACTCCCATGGCGCAAGAAAACGATTCTTTGAAATCTATCTCTTCCGTAACCCGTAGGCCAATTTACATAATTTTTTCGACAATATTTGCAGCTCAACGCAGACAAGGTTTGGAAACTATAAAAATCTGAATTAGATTTTTTTCTTTTACTATCTAATCAATTCTCTAATTTACATCTGCGAAATGTCACACTATTTGATTGAATCTTTTGTTGAAATAAAGATAGTTATGACTTTAGACTTTTACTCCGCTCTGTTTATGATGCTAGCAAAAGGTTTTATTATTGCATCTGCATCGGCCCTAGTATATAATAAGGGTGACAAACGAGCACACAGTCCTCTTGATGGTAAGTGGATACTGTGGCCCATAGACATCTACATTTATTCTCGATTAAGAATCAAAACGCAGATGCGTTGTCTGTCCCCTGAGGACTAAGACGGAATGCCTTGATTCCAGTAAAACGGGTCTCCGGTTCTCTACACTCACTATACGAAACACAGCAGCATTAAGTTGCTATTTTACGCTGGTATTCTATGAGAGTGTGGTCCTTCACCAGTCGAGCCGAACTATTTATGTTACAACCATAATATGACTGCAGCGTGGCTCTACCACGTTTAAAATAACAAGACAAAGACTGTAAAGCATCCCATTTTAGTTTCAGGGATAATGCTCTGTGACCCGTTGGGTTTCAGTAGACAGTACAGTCCAGTTTTCGTTTAATAATACTAAACTAAAAATATTAAATAATCTTAGTGTTTCTGATACGGAAACAACTAGCTGCAATGTTAGATGCTGCGACCCAGCTGACAATTGTGATCATTACGGAAAGTCTTCCCTGTTATGTGTGTGGACCATGTCCAGCAGTAAACGGTTTATCGTTTTTATGATGCAGTTTATAGTAGAAAGTAAACCTTTTAGTTGTATTGTAGAAAATCTTCTTTAACCATGTGGCGAGTTTTATATTTTATAAATGTTGAAAATTCAAAAATTATTTTATACTTAAATTTTAAGCTATTATTAATGTATGTTTTGTTAACACGTTAATTGCCAATCACGCGACGTCGCGTGTTCCCAGTACTCCTCAATTTGGCCTTTCGCGTGAAGTATCCGACAAGTTTTGTATGAAGCGTATTGCCTGAGCCGGAGCGTTATCGCAACGGTGTTTTTTATGGGCCTCTAGAGAAAGGATTAAGCTATCGTAAAGTGGGCGTGGCCATCCGAATCATGCGATAGTTTTAGTGCTACGTAATTGGATAGTTCCAGGTAAGTTCGCTTAGCGTCGCCTCTCGAGCCAGACGGCTTTCTTGTTTGTTTTTAGTTAGTTGTGAACAAATAATACGTATTTTTTGTAGTATAAAGTGATACTAATTATAATAAAACAAAATTTATAATGAGTGATCATCAACCTCTAGGGGTACGAAACGATCAAACGAGATACCTTTGCGAGCGCAATCAAAACGTATTTTGTTGCACGAATCGGATATTCTTGAAGCTTTTCCGACAATACATCAAATGAAAGCGCCACAAGTATGTCATCAAACTATACGTGCTCACAGAACCGGATGGCTTGATTTTAAATTTCCACGTGTTTGCCAGCACAGAAGATGAAGGGGCCACACCGAAAAAACTTTTGAAAAATTGATGCAAAATAAATTGGACGTTGGCCACTCTATCTATATGGATAATTTTTATAATTCATATACCTTAGCTAGTAAACTTTTGGGTCAACTTACTTATTGTACTGGCTGGCTCTAAAATATTTAGAAGATTTTTTTATGTTGCATGTTTTTTTTGATATTTTGTTATTTTTTGTGTTATATAATTCAAATAAAAATTATTGATACTAAAAATATTTAATTTTATTACATTTGAACTCATAATTGCACAAAAGTGCTAAGGTATCCCAAAACTCGACGTCGCGTGATGGGGCCCCTAAGGATAAATGTACACTACACATGGCCCATCACGCGACGTCGAGTGATATACAACTATATTATGTAAAATATTAAATATATATACTAAAACCATAAACACACCCGCAAATAGTATTTGCTGTACATAAGAGTTATTTCATTAAAAAAAAGTTTTGGGCCACCAGCAGAAAACTCCAATTTTAGCTTTGGCAATGAACGTGTTAATTGTTAATGATACAAATGTTAATAAAAATGTCTAAATTTTGTATAATATTACCTATTGATAAATTAATTTATGTACAAGCAGACACGCGCCATGCACTTTTATGTATATGCATAATGAAGAATGTAAAACTGGTTCGGTCGCTGGGCCGCACCTTCGGGACAACGAGATCGCCAGTTCGTCCGCTTCCGCGTTGCACGTTGCATGTGTCCTATACCTGTTGTTAGCCTAAGGCGGTGGTCTCCTATAAACGCCATCGGCCGCTTACAGCGTCACGCCGTACGCCGCGTTACGATGCTTACTATAGAAATGTACTGGTGTGGTCTCTTTCACAAGCTGATGTCGGCGTATGGACGTCGTAGGCGGCGTTTAGACGCTTTGCGCTGCGTCTCTAGTTATTTCGAACCATTGCAGCGTGAAGTTCGTGTCTAGCGTCAGTACAAAATGACATTTAATAAAGAAAAAGACGAGTTACTGTATTACTATTATATTTAAATTGTTCCTGATTAATACGAAAATATTCAGTAAATTTAGAATTGCTGTCTTTTAAGTGCTTTATTATCAATAGCTGGAAACATCCTTCTTCATATCTCTTCATAAATAATCGGTGCCTTGTTGCATTTATTTTTCTTCGTATACGGTCGTCTTGTGCCTCTTCTTCAAGTAACACAAGCGCCCCCAAAAGTATTGACACGTGAGCACTTTTGGCTACTTAATTGTTGCTCGATCGAAAGTCTAGACGTCGCGTCGTCCGTTTGTAAAATATGTATTGACCGCTGACGCTGTGCCTGGCGTTCAGACGCCGATCGGAACGTTTACGCTGAAGTCGGACGTCGCGTATAGCATTTAATAGGAGACCGTAGCCTAAGACCCACGCTTACGCAGTTTGTATTGTTAAATTCTTCTTTCCGTATTTTACTGTGTTCCTATCTTCTCATTCGTACCTTCTGTATTGTGCTGTTGTTAGACTGTCATTACTGTGTACCCAGCGCAATAAAAAATATAAGAGTAAAAATATACTATTATTTTATCATCCACCATACACAATTACAACCATGCAAAGTGCCAACACTATAGTGACCATTCACCTTAATGAAGAACCAAAAGATAATGATCATTATTATAATGCAGAAAACGATATATTCCACACATATCAGTAGTCGCATTTTTGAAAAACGAAAACGTATGCAACGTTGATTAACTAAGGCTGGAAAGTAAACAATGCAAAATTTTTCTTCCTCCCTGTCAGTCCGAAAAAGTCCAGCTCAAAGTCCAATCCAAAAGTCAGAAATGTCCAGTCTGAATCAAAGGCTTTCTCATAGTCCACATACGCCAGACAAAGTGGCAGATTGTACTCTTCGGTCTTCTGTACAATCTGCCGCAGGGTATGTATGTGGTCTATGGTACTGAAGCCTTTTCGGAAACCGGCTTGTTCGGGAGGCTGGAAGTCGTCGAGTCTGCGTGCCAGACGATTCGTAATGACTCTCGAAAACAGCACGTAGACGCGACTCAGAAGGGAAATCGGTCTGTAGTTCTTCAAGAGAGCGTTGTCGCCTTTCTTAAAGAACAAGACCACCGCACTTCAGCTCCACGCCTCCGGAGTAGTGCCTCCATGGAGGACGGAATTAAAGAGCTTCTGAAGGACTTCAAGTACCGGTTTTCCACCCGTTTTCAGAAGCTCCGCTGTAATTCCATCCTTGCCCTTGCAAGGGAGAGGCTGGATGAGCCTCTCCCTTTGTAGGAAGAATTTACCTTAACTGTATGCTTGACAGGCGATTTAGCGATTGCATTATCGGACGCCTCCTACCTTTGAAGCTGTTAAATTCTTCATTGCACAAGAAATACATAAATACATACATAGCGTCACGGCTATAATCCCCGTGGGAGTAGGCAGAGTCCAGAGAGCAGTGAAGTACTCGGATCACGTTTAGCCAAAAAAAGTAATATGCGGCTAGCCCATCGCCTACTCAATCACAAACCCAATATCCCGTTAGTCACATTTTACGACACATCCTTTGTTGGCACATACGTTTTTTGTTACAAGTCGCACATAATCAAGGAACCTATAAGGAAATACATCTATACAAAGGTGAACCTAATGCCATAATCGTATTCTCTGTATACGGGTATTTGGTGTTGTTGTGAAAGCAGTAAATTACATATATAGAGCAATAATAAATTAAGGGGTTTATATTCTCGAAAAGTACAAAGCGTTAACCCTATGCATGTTGGACTTCAAAAGTCCTAAAAATAAATTGAATTAACCTTGAAAGGTAGCTCGGAAAATAGCGTTTAGCGCCCTAAATTTCATAGTACGTTAAGCAAACACGAGTCCCCGACCCCGCCAGCATTAATTTATATTCTAAAAGTAGAAAACCAATGCCAAAAAAACTTACTCGTTAGGATATGGAGGTTCAGGGAAATTGAGCGAACCGCATTCATACGCAGCCAGAGTGACTCGCGCTATGTGAGGGCCAAGGTAGAGTAGAAACGTGTGCAATCCAGTTCCCAACCCGACCGAACTGCACACACCCAGTATCACCCACCAACCCCACCACGCTAGAGTCGCCACCGTTACCTGAAGAGAACAGAAATAAGGTACTTTATAGGCCTTATATACGGCTCATCTTGCTGCACGTCCCGCATGCACGATGCACGATGCAAAACGACAAACCCTAGTAGGCTTGACGTCTGAGCTTTATCATTGTCGTTTTGCATCGTATAACATTCATTATCTTGGCGGAACATACAGCTAGATGGATCGTGTTTATGGCCTTTTTTTATTATGACCATAGAATACTATAATACACAATAGAATGGCTGTCAATCTTATTTTGTACGAAAATCGGTGTCGCCGGGAGCACACATACAAGAAATTACATCGTATTGTCACTACTAAAAACCCGATTCGCTATATTGACAGACTGAGCTAATTTACACATTTCAGACTTGATTAATGTTTTAGACACATCAATATTTCTTTATTTTTGTTTCTAATATTTACAAAACATAAATAGTTTCGACTTACTGGTTGTAGGATATGTCTCCTTTATTTAAATGCCATTTTCCGCTGTTCTTCCGAAACGTAATTGTTGCACAATTTGCCATTTTTTAAATAATTTGCATGACACGAAAATTGAAAACGATTGTGTTGACATTTATAGGTGTGAACTGACATGTTAGTGGCTACACGGGCTCCGCCCACTCCCCCGTTCTATTATGTATGTATTATAGTATTCTATGGTTATGACAGCCAGGTGCGTATTGCAACACGTTAGCACGAGAATATTCCTGAAACTTTGAATTACAATTGTGTTGTCGATGTATGGGAAATTCAGTCTTTACGTCTGAATAATAAGGGTCAATGTCAAGTTAATAAAAGGTATGATCGTAAGAATAGACAATGCTCAAACTTATGGATGCATGCAAGACGTAACCTTATGAATAAAACTAAATTTACGGATTCTAGCGCGTTTATTTAACTGATTTTACTTATTTTTAATTCCCGACGTTTCGGGTGCTTTATAGCAACCATAGTTACTGATTCCTACCAAGGATGATACGCGAGGCTATTGAAATTAAAAAACATCCTAATTTCAATAGAGAAGGTTGGGTGCTGCCACCTGCTTGGGATCCTATAATTAACAAAATTAAACCCAAACTCAAGCATATCACTGCAAGACTTGAAGATACTGTAAGTTCATTTTGCGTAAATCGGACCAAAAATTAATATTCAAAAACTGAAGGTAGCCGGGCTAACAATGACATTGCGACGTCAAACATCTCAGTCCCTCCCGTGACCATGGTTGCTGTAAAGCACCCGAAACGTCGGGAATTAAAAATAAGTAAAATCAGTTAAATAAACGCGCTAGAATCCGTAAATTTAGTTTTATTCAATGTGTATTGTTCGCGTAAATTTAAGAAATCATTACGTAACCTTATGACTGCGTCGATAATGCATTTCTCATCCTAATACATAACAGTATTTTTATGAAAAGAATTAAGGTTAATCACGAAAAGATTCCAGACTTTGGTGCGAAATTACCTGTGACAAATGAACCCATAGTTTACCTGATAGTAAGTGGATGCTGTGACCTGCAGAAGTGTTTGTCCTATCGTCGATTAAGAATCAAAATATGTAGATGTGTTATCAGTTATCACTTCTGAGGACTAAGATGGAATGCCCCCACACGCGACTGCGGCCAGTAAAACAAATACAAATTGGAGCGTTGGCTGATAGATTAATTCCCGGGAAACGGAGAAGCAAAACTTACTTGTTTCACCAAGAAATACTACCTAGCGATGACTGCAATAGGGTATTATTTTACACTATATAAAAAAAATCAAAAATATATATTTGATAGGTTTTGTAAAATGTAAACGAGAAATATTGATTTATATTCATAAAAATGTATTATAAATTTTATAATTCCTTTTTAAGAATATTTTTCGTTTATCTGTGCCTTAAATCTCCAAAACGCTATCACCCATATTAGATTCCGTCGTGACATCATTGGTTAAGTTAACTATAGTCTTTGCGTTATAGCATGGTGTCGGCGCCAGCTTACAGTTTGGTGTGTCTAGAGATGGAATAATGTTAAATCGATTTAAAAAAAGACGATTAACAATACACAAAGCAGAGCAAAACTTAGCGATTAGTTATCGATATAAAAATTAAAACCGAAACATATATTTATTTATAAACTACAATAAGGTTTAAGGTTACAATAAGGTAAGTTTAAGGTGATACCTCGAAAACTTGATGGTTTTTCTATTAGACATATTTCTTTAAGTTTTAAAGATTACAAATCAAAATTTTGGTATATGATTTTTGACTATATGACCTTGGATTGCATAAAAGGAAAACACGATATCACGTAATTTTCTCGATAGAAAAAGATTGCAAAGTAGGCTCTAATTAGTTACATTTCTCCATGACACCACAGTATTTTTACGAATAAGTTCATGGAGTTATTTTTAAGACATAGTAAATAATCATATCTAAATTCTCATAAACCACTTTTTAATCCATAACGAAGTTCTGTTAAAAAAAATGTTGTTTGACGCTTACGTAGTTTTTTTCCGAGCGCGTGTTCGGTATAGCTATGTCATAATTTGCGTATTATGAAGTCATTGCATCACTTTAATTTTGACACTCCCTCAGTCGTCCGTGAGCTTCACCGACAAAGGAATAAGCCACGCCCCCAAAACTACGATTAATTTTCAAGGTATCCTCTTAATACAAATTATGACATTATAGTTGATCCCGCGACTTTGCCAGCGTGGTATTTATTACGATTGGATTTCATGGGTTTTAATTTTTTTGCGCGGAATCCTAATTCATTTTCTAAAATAAAAGTAGCCTGTGTTACTCCTTATGACATCAGCTCTCTGCCAGTGCCAGCTATAAGCCGCAACAAACAGACGGACAGACAAACATTTTAAATTGTTTTTGTCTTTTTGTTATAAATACCGTATATACTTTCATATACATTTAGTAAAAGGCTGTTATTTTAACATTACAAACAGACACTGCAATGTATACTTAGATATGTATTAATTTGAAAATAAAAATCATCTTCTATTTCATGTTGATTGCAACATTCATATTGACATTTAAAGAAATAAAATGGCTTCCAGCATCTGTAACTTTCAGTACGGCGTTGACTGCACCGGCTGCTTTTATAAGTGCTAGCGCCTTTCGCAAAATGTGTATTATGTGTTTTATGTATGTGTGTTGCCAGATCCAATGGGCCAAATATCGTGACGAAAGGTAAAAATAATCGAGAATTTAAAATAGGATTTTTGTAGCCATTTTGGCCGCGATGAGTTTGACAGTATTTTGACACAATGCGCAATTTGCTTCATAATTTTTTTGCCTGAACTGACCAACGAACGTATTGTACATGCATCGGAAACACTGCGATGTGCGTTTCTTCCCGTAAATCAGAATTTGTTGAACGATTAGTTCCAATTCCAATTCATATTTACGTAATTTTTATATAGGTATTCGATTTATTTCAAAACTGATTTTTGATAGTATGTGGTTGTTTGTTATGGGATGGTATAGTTTAGTATGGCACATCACCCATCCATGAAGTACAACAGTATCTTACTTACTTACTTACTTATCTTCACGCACAATCCCTAACGGGGTAGCCAGAGAGAACAGATCGCCAAGTGTCACGATCCTTACATACCTCTTTCGCTTCTTTCAGGTTCATTAACTTCTTCATACATGCATGTCTAGGTATCCGAGTACTCTTGAACCTCCCCTCTTAGAGCAATTTGCTCACATGGTCTTCGAAAGTTAGTCTCGGTCTACCTCGACACCTTTTAATATTTACTTTCGCTCTATATATTTTCTTCACCATTCGGTCTTCACTCATTCGTTCAACGTGCCCAAACCATTGGAGTAAGCCCCTATCTATTTTTTACATTCAACAGTATCTGTATGTCAATTTATCAAAAAAAAAATACGACACTTATATCCATTCCAGATGCTGGTTTTGAAATACTTGATCACCCTCCTTATTCAGGAATAAGGAGCTTGAACCAAGTGATTTAAATTTATTTCTTCTGAAAGAGTATTAGAAAGGACAAAGAAAGATAATAAAGCAGTAGTCGCTGCAGTGCAGGAGTTTTCAGAAGCTCAGGATGCAGAGTTATTTTAAAAAGAAATTTTAGCTCTGTCACCTTCCTACAAACAGATGCGTTTTAGTAAACAGCAGTGAAAAACCGCGTTTTAGTTTCACAAGTTTTAAGGTTTACCTAATTAGTTATGGATTCTTATATATGTGAAAGTTAGTAATTTTTTGTACGTATGCAAAATTAAAAGGACACAAACCTGAACATAAGGTTGATGTGGTCCACTGACATAGTACGATATAACTGTACCGACCGTCAGCAAAATAATTGTTAACGCTAGTATTCTGTAAGCTAGCAGCCTGAAAACAAAAAAAAATGGTATTTAAGTTTCTGATATAAGGTAACTATGTAATTTTTATACGTGATATATACTCGGCCATAAACGAGAAACGCTATCATATCACGCTATTATAAACATAAATGTTAGACTTGTGTGATTATGTTTGACTGACTCGTTGATCTAGTGGCTGTAAACACGAATACCTACTGATCATGAGGTCCTGGGTTCGAATCCCAGATCAGGCCAAAAAAAAGAGTTATTGAGTTTTCTGTCAAGAAATTCTCAGTATTTGCCCAGAGTCAGTAAGTTGGTGGTGTCTCAACCTAGCCTTGGATAGAACGTAAAGCCGTTGGTACTGCACCTGATCTCTCGCCGGTCGTGCTGGTTTACCGTCCCATTGGATTATGAGAGTGAGGGAATAGAGAGTGCACCTGTGCTTGCGCATACAATTGGGCACTATAATTCTGTCCTGCGCCGATGGCTAGTCCGTTGAGGGTGGCCGCCGTGATTAAAATTCGGTCTCGAAGACATTATTATTCTTTATGTTACAAGAAAATATATCATAATATGTTACTTACTTTTGTAACCCTGTTGAGATCAATATAAGAAGTTCTTTAAAGAAATACTCCAGCGTTGTTAGAGGCCGCCTCCAAAGCACCAAACTATCGGTGTCCATTTGGACCGTTTTAATTCTGAAAGAATAACAAAATTCATTAGGGGAAGCTTCACATCTTCATATCTTATTAAGTTAAATTTTTTAAACGTTACCATATAATTATAACTATACTGGGGTTAGTGTAAACACCGTTATCCTTGAAACCAGTGGTATGGTTTCACTTATAGAACGTAAATTCAATGAAAAATAACTTTTTTTAGTAAAATTTAAATTTTTCCTTAATTCCTCAATTTTTGCCTGTCCTAAACCAGGATGAAAGTATGAAGGAAAAGTTACATCACAGGTTATGTGTTGTACCTATTGTGTTTTTATTGAAATGTTGTATAGGTAGCTAGGGCGGGCGGTGATCTTTACAGTGATTACGTCACTCGGGCGCATAGGGTATCCATGAATTTACGGACGGTGTCAGACAGAAACTTTTTAAAATGTATAAAAGAAAATAGCGTTTTATTTTTAAAATCGGATATATATTTTTATATTAAAGCCAACTACTTAAGGTTTTAGTAACAACGGTGTTTACACTTACACCTGTATAATAATTGTTTCCACGGATGGTCATTACTGCTGTTGGTAAAGGAGATGGTTCTTTTCTCGCTTAAAGGCCCAGCAAAATTAGCAATTCAGCGAGGAGACGTTCCTGATACTATACCACGTGGTGTAGGACTGTATCTAGATAGTAATGATAATTTAAGTTTTTAGTTTTAGTTTTTTTTTTATAATGTATATTAATTAATATGTACCATATTCATGTATTTAAAAGTTATGTTAATAAATGGTATTTTGATATCCCATTAATTAATTTGTTTAATAATTGCATTACAATTAATATTGAAACTCTACAATAATGCGCAAAAGAGTTCACATATTACGCACCTTCAGGCATATTCAGGTATGTCAATATGAAAATTTTAAGATTAACAACAAAAACTTCTTTGCGCCCACCTAAACACAAACACACTCACGCGAATTCGTTCACTCACTAACGCCCACGTCCCCCTACACACACGTACGCACGCACGCACGCACGCGCGCGTGCACCCCCTCCCCCCTCCCTACACACACAACATCGAGATCAGATGAAATCTCGATTTTCGAAAACTGGGGTGCAACCAATAACTTCCCGATTTTTCACCAGTCACCATATGGTATGTGGCTTATAGACGTCTACATCTATCCTCGGGTCATAATCAAAATACAGATGCGTTGTCACCCCTGAGGATTAAGATAGAATGCCTCATTTCCAATAAAAAGTGGTCCTACCCGGTCGAGCCGATCCATTTTCAATTTAATGAGTAGTGTGGCATGGTACTTAGATTACTTGGTCTTTAACATACTTGGCCTCCTTTTGTGGGGAGTGGAGACCGTTGCGCGCGCGCGGCTCCACGTCGTTCTGTTGCACCGCGGCCGCCAGCTTGTAGTACCCGAGACGGGCGAGCTGGAACACAAAACCTCTTATTAGTTTTGTTAACTAACTTAGCTATGATATGTTTGTGCAAATATACAGCGTGTACCAATAATGGCGTGGATGTCAACACAAAATGTGAATACCGTGTGATATAGCTACAACTAATTCGTCGATTCGCTGTAGTATATTTCTGTCTATAATTTATATAATTTTTCTATGTCCGTTGTGATTGCAATTACGAAAATGAAAGTTTTTTTGGTGCAATAGTATTCCTCGACCTAAGCATCTCAACTGTATAACTGCGTGATTGCATGTCAATTGTCTAAATCTATATAATATATAAAACACAAAAAAATATTCTACCTATATCATTTGATGCATTTTTTGTGCGTTTGAATGGGTCCCTAGAAGGTTTATAATTGGACCCGGTAGGTGGCGCTGTTGTCAAGATCAATAAATCACCCGTGGGGATTAGGTATTGGATCGGGATCGGTACAGGTTTTTTAATTACGTCAAATTAAAGGGTACTCAATTTCCTAACAGGAAGTTATAGAAAAATAATGAAAAAAAAATTGAAGCCCGTCAGACCTTTTTTTCGGTAATTTTCTTAGAATTACTCCAGAACCAAACATGACGTGGCCGTGAACACTTGGGAGCTACTATTAGCTTTTTTTTTTCTGTACGACCTTTTATAGAATTTTAGAACAGAATTTTAAGAATTTCTTTTTCTATTCTAGAATTTTTTTATAATCCTTTAATTTCTGTGACAATTGGACAGGAGTGTTTTTTTTATAGAAGAGGGGGGCAAACGAGCATGCGGCTCACCTGATGGAAAGTGACTACCGCCGCCCATTAACGACTGCAACACCAGGGGAATTGCAGGTGCGTTGACAAGCTTTTAGAAAGGAGTACACTCTTTTCTTTAAGGTCCCTAAGTAGGATCGGTCCGGAAAAATCGCCGGTGGTAAACGATTCCACAGAGGGGTCATACAAGGAAGAAAACTCCTTAATATTCTTGACTAGTGTATATGTGATACACGGGACAGCGAATGGGTTATTAAGAACCCTGCTCTAAACAGTAGCGCCGGCCATAAGCCAGCGTCAGTCGTAGTTTTCTTGGTCCGCACTTTGCAACTAAGTACCCTATCTTCTCTTTTTATTACCACGTTTTATTAACTCGCTTTCGTATATGTATGTCTATTCGGGTCGAATTTTGTAAACGATTTTAAACTTAACTTCAGCTAGGCACTTGAAATTTTAAACAAAGCTCAGAATCGGATGACAATTTAAGTTAACGAATCAAGTTATTTGTTTTAATCAATAGATTTGTCAAGATGACACAACTGGTGGAAGATGGTGCTACTTGCGATACTTAGAGTATGCTAGTGTATGTGTGGCTAAAATTATTCCCAAATAAATTTATTTCTCATGTATTTCTGATATCAGCCAGCATGGCCATTTTAATGTGAATGCTTTGTAAAGAATGTAAACGACAACATAGTAATCGAATCTGACGCATCGAATCTGAGAGCAATGCGTCAACAGTCAACGCGTCGTAAACAATTTCCGTACGAAACAAAGAGCAGTACCAGTTTTAAACATCAAGTGTAATATAAATCTTAATCCTCAACATCAACAGTAAACCATTTTAATATTTAAATGTTATTTCTATATGGGAGTAGCTGTAATAGGCTCGAAACGTAAAAAAATTACATATCACCAAATCTCCTAGTTTTTATGTTTATAAAGTTCAATTTCAACAATTTTAGAACGACGTCTATGTGTATAAATAGGTACCTCCTATACGATACAGTTCGTTGTGACGTTTGTGAAATTTTAGTTTCACATGCATCGAGAGGGAATATGTTTCGAAACAATTTTATTTGACGCCTATTAAGTAGATAAAGAACGCGTGATTATTTTATTATTTTATTAAAATTCATTGTGTAATTTTTAAACAAAGGAAAGAACTTACAATTAGCAATTAATGTAAAGACAAACCAAATCGCACAAACACACATGTCTTTATTTTATTTTATTATCGAATATGTAGTCAATACTATTTATGGACAACCTGTTTATTATTGAACACTTATTATGGACTGCCATACTTTAAATACACTTTGCTTTCCTTACTTTACTGTAAATCAACTAGCGGAAGTGGGAAACTGTTATATTACGATTACTATGTTACGACTTACGATTTTCAAAGCGTATCCCCTTATTGTTCCTTAACAGTGAAAACAAAGGCAAAAATGTTTATGAAGACATGTTAATATTAATAAAGAAATGTTTCTATCGATTATTTTTATAGAATAAGGATGACAAACGAGCACACAGTAAACCTCATGGTAAGTGGATGTTGTGGCCCTAGACATCTACATTATTTATCCTCAATTAAGAATCAAAATGCAGATGCGTTGCCAGCCCTGCCCTGCCAGGACTGAGATGGAATGCTTCGTTTCCAGTAAAAAAGGTCTCCGGTTCTCTACACTCACCATACAAAACACAATAGCAATAAGCTGCTATTTTGTGAGAGCGTGGTCCTGCCCCGGTCGAGGCGACCCATTCGTGCTGCAACCACAATATGGCTGCAGCATGGCTCTACCACGTAGATTTATTATGGCTCTACCACGTAAAAAGATTAGATCGGTCAAAATTAATGATATTTAGTTCGTTTTATTTTTAAATATCAGAAGTATCAAACAATCCTGTAACCAACTTCAAAACGAAGAAGGCTAAAGGATGCGTTGGCACCTCTTGGTACTAAGACGGTATAAAAGTTACAGCCTATATCGTTCCACTGCTGGGCACAGGCCTCTGCTCATTTCTGAGCGGGTTTTAGGGCAAGGAATTGTCCGCCGCGCTGCCCCAATGCGTGTTGACGAACTCCACATGTTTTCGAAATATTTTTTTTCTTATTTCTGTGATATACAGGTTTCCTCACGATGTTTTCCTTCACCGCCGAGCACTTGGTAAATCAGCACTTGAAATTGCAATCAACAATTTCATTGGTGCCGGCGGAGATCGAACCCGGTTTGCTCGGGTACTGCGAAATTTACAGCAAGCGCTAACCATCTGAGCTACCACGGCTCTTCTCATCACTAAGATGGTATGCCTTGTTATTATTATTATGTAGTTATACCAGTTCTCTATACCTTTCAGACCAGAACACAACAATGCACGCATTACTGCTAGGCGGCAGAAGCAGCTAAGAGGTTGGTTGGTTGGTCTACACAGGCGGACTTTAAGGCAGAAAGGTAGTGGTAGTAACCACGGTATATTTTTTTTGTTATTTTTACGTTACGTTGCATCGTATTAAAAGATCGTGTCGGCTCAATGCTGTAAGGACCACGTTCGCATGGAAAAGAATACCAAAGTAAAATATTGGCACAATGCTGTTGTGAACACACTCTTTTTTATTATACGTCCCGCATAAACATGTGACCTGTAAGTCCTCGACCAACATAAGACGATATATTTAAAAAAAAAATCAAAAGGGTCGATTCATTTGAATTTTATTTATCGAATTTTAAGAGGCTAATGATAGGTTAAATAAGAGATTCCATCATCCTCCACATTGCATTCCGTCCCGTTGGTGGTGTAAGATTAAGAGATTAAGGGGAACCCCCGAAAGATTCATTTGTCAAAACAGGTTCTGACTCAAATTTAAACACATAAAGTTTGCGCTTGAGCACGATGTTATCTCTAAAGATCTGCTTAAATATTGCAATGAACAATGTTAGCCAACATTTGTAACAAAATATGTTCTGAACTCAAATTTTAATATTGTAAAGTTAATTTAAACACGGGATTATCTCTAAACATCTGAGTAAATATTGCAATTAACAATGTCATTGTTCCCAGTTCCCAGTGGAGCGGAATCAACTTCGGCTGACCACGTACTATGAAATTTACGACGAGTGATTAGGTCCTGGGCTACCGTGGCTCCAAGTTTTGAAAAATGACTTATCTGAAAATGCACTTTGTCATACATCCGATGTTATCGCAAGCTTTTTTAATATCAACGAGAACGTAGAGTCAAGTAAGTGTAGAGAGGCAGTCATGTACGTATTACAAAAAAAAATTATCCAGCGATAATTATGACAAAGGTCATCTACATCATTATCATAGAAATATGTACGTAATGACGTTAATTTTTTTAATATTAACATATTATTGTGTTTATCGTGAAGCTTTATCAGGCGCTCAGCGCCAAAGCCGTAGTTTACTATACAACGTTAGCAATTTATTATTATTTAAAATTCTCTACAGTAGCTATTGTTTATATATTTAATTATATCTGTAGTTCATGATAAAGTGTTGAAAGATCAAAAATATTAAGTTTAACCTAGTTATTAAGTTGTTGTCGACTTTAGATTTTGTCGTCAAAAAATAAAATAAAGTGTTTAAAATAAGTTTAAATATAATGAAGTGCGTACCCTGATAAAAGTTTCGAAATAAATATTGATATCACGTACCTTTGCAACTTCTTGATGTATTAAGAAAATAAATTAAAAATAACGTAAGAACACAATACACACGATCACTTAAGTCAAGCACATTACATAATACGGAAAATAGAGTGCATTTAAAAACTTCATGCAAATCGAATAAACCTGTGCCGAGGCATAAAGTAGACGTTTATTGCTTTGGCGTCAACGATATGAATGCGAACTGTGACATCATGGTTTCGCTACGGAATCAATTTCACTTTCAAAAACCACTTCCACTCTCTCTTATTTCATTATCGTACGGGTCTGAACAAATAGTGCGAGAAAAAAATATTGGATCTGCGCATAGTTTATTTTTTAATTTTTCATTATTCAATAATTCGAATAATGTTCAATCCAATTTTTTTATAATAAAATATAAACCCGGTAGGTGGCTCTGTTGTTGTGATTCAGAAATCATTCGTGCGAAGCCAAGGCGGATTGCTAGTACATAGGTATAAATCTGAAATATAGCCATTTTTGTAACCAATTTAAAATACTGAAAATTAATAAGTATTTGTTAATCAGACGACTCGA